AAGAATGAAGGACATTGCTTTAGCCTGTCACAAAGCCTCAGTATCTTCTAGTTAGAAGAGGTTAGGGGATAAATGTTCTTTCTCTAAAATTAACAAAAATACAGTAACTTTTTAATTTTAAATTACTTTTTATCATCCATCTACCAGTGGCTCACACCTGTAATCCTAGTTACTTAGGAGTCTGATACATGAAGATTATAGTTTGAAGCTAGCCCAGGAAGAAAAGTTTATGATATTTTATCTCTCCAATATAAAAAGCTGGAAATGGAGCTGTGGGTCAAGTGATAGAATTCTAGCTTTAAACAAAAGAAAGAAAGAAAAAAAAGCTAAGGTATCATTCAGTTCCTGAATTCAAGCCCCAGTACTGGTACCAAAAAAAAAAAGTGGCATGATATAGTATTAACCAAAGTGTTCCAGTTTTTATCTTATTCAGGCCCATATAAATCCTATCATTCCTTCAAACTTTAACCAAATGTCTTATCTCATTCTGAGATTTCCTTTCATTGTACTACTGATTTGTCACATGGATATATCCTATCTGCTTATTTTTATGTGGTGTTATGCACTGTCTCTGAGCTTTTCTGCTCAAGACTAGCACTCTACCACTTGAGCCACAATTCTACTTCTGGCTTTTTTTTTTTAATAGTTGGAGATAAGAGACTCTTGGACTTTCCTGACCAAGCTATCTTCTAAACATGATCCTCATATCTCAGCCTTCTAAGAAGCTAAGATTACAGGTATAAGCCACCAATGCCCAGCTATTCTAGTTTTATGTTTGTCTCATCATCGGATATTACCTTTAAGTTTTCTTAGGGCAAAACTGTTTTATACTAATCAATCTCTACTGCTGAATACAAATATACCTTTAAATAAAGATTTTAACAATTTTAGCATATTGGTTTTGGGTTACTTAACAAAAGTTTTTTAAAGCTGATATACATTATCTAAATATGCACATATATGTATATAGATAATACTCTACATCTAAATGAAGCCTTAAAATTCAAATTGATAAGAAACTTAAGATTTATGAACCATATTTACCAGTTAATCATTTTCTGAAGAAACATGAGAGTGTTGTCATACTAAGTATTGTCACACTCAGAATTATTTTCTAAGTATATTCAGAAAGTACTATAATTTCCTTATAAACTGTTGTAAGATAAAATCTATTTGGCCAATAGTTTCCTCTCAGCTGAAGAGAGCTTTACTTTATGTTGTACAATCACCCTACTAAAGGACTGAAGCCATTATCACACAGTACTTGACATAAACAACAATTCTCCCTAGAAGACAAAAGGAGCTACAATGTTCCTGAAACAATTTTAAAAATTCTAAAAGTTGGAACAGAATAGAATTTGCCTAAAAGAATTAAAAAGCTATATAAACAATGAAAGAGCTATAAACTGAAAGCCTAAGTTTACTTTGGAAATGTAAGAAAAAAATCAATCAAGCAAATGACCAACTGGCAGTTGTCCTTTCTTAGTTGATACTCACTTGTACCGTACCTGTAACTGATGCTCAATCACTGTGCTTCTGCATTCATCTCGAAAGGACACCTAACCTGCAGTCCTTAGAGAGGTTACATGCATTTAATTTATATTTTCCAAATGCATACAAGATGTAAAATAAAATCTTTTAAATGATGCTACCATTTTCTGGAAAGCAGTTCCACAATATTTTCATCACCGGTGACTCAAAAGAGAACATGTAATCTTCATTAAATCGCCACAATGTCTGCTCCTTTCTCTCTTTCTACATATGTTAAAGTCTTCAGATGTTTTACAGTCTTATTCTTCTTCTCTAAACATTTTCTTCTTTGGTTTATTATTTCAGCATTCTTCAAGTCTTCCTTATATAACATGAATTTTATATCCATCAGTAATCTCTAGGTCCTAATGTCCTGTATCTAGATAAACGCTAATTTATCAACATACTTTATAAAATGTGACTTTCAAATCTGTACACTTTTATAAGAAACAGTGTAATCATGTATGTTATAGTAACCTTTAACCTTGTATTGGAAATTACATATTGATTTTGATGCTCATTTTGTCCTTTGCTTATAAGAAACTAAATAGACTTGTGCATGCGCACACATACTACTGAGAGTTCTAATCCTGACTAACCACTAATGTAGTGAGGTCACTACTATTTTTCTAAAACTTTATTAAAAACTAAACATACTTAGCCAGTTATTAACAAAAAGTATTGCCTCTCACCAGATACAATATGGGTTATGTTTTTGGATTTCATTGTTACCTGAAGCTTCAGGACTTAAAATGATTGCCAGTTTACTTATTAGAAACATTTATAATCTGGTCCTACCCCTTTTTCTGTTTCAATAGTCCTTCGAAGTAATTTTCTTCTCCAGAGACATCTCAAACTTGAAGTCATTGCCTCCTTTTCTCACAAAATTGGATTATTTCAGGCTATTTACCTCATTTTTTAGGACTGAGTTTAAAACTCATGTGATTACTCATATGTATTTGATTGACTTTGAAGAAGTCAGGTTGGATTAGCATTGCCTTGTTAAAATATAGGTTTCATAAAAAAGGGAAAAAAGCCAATAGTATATCTAATCTTTTATATTTCAGGATGTTTAATGAGGCAAATGACAAAGTTCCTTTCTAAGTAGCAACAAGCGATATTAAAATGGCATATAGCATATAGTTAGAAAATTATATCTCACTTACTGTATCATTATTGGGCTTATTTTGTATCTTTTTAAAAATAGATTTGAATTAATTTTACAACTCTTAAATTGTGATGTGAGCATGAATAAATAATTATTTAGTAATACTTAATTGGTATTGCTCTGTCTTTAAAGCACTTCAATCAAAATTAAACACTGGAAATAATTCTAAAATAATGTTACACTTTTACACTGAGAAATTTTGGAAACAAACCTGATACAACTTATACTAAGCAGATTCATTAAACATACAGTCAACTCCCAATTATTCAAAGTAATGGTGGAAAGGATGGAACAAGTGTTAAAATTTCTCTAGTTCTCCAAAGAAAAGATAAAAAGTAAATAACTTTGAGATGTGCTGCAACTACATACGAAAACAACATAAAGAACCTCAGAGAGAAGGAAGGAAGGAAGGAAGGAAGGAAGGAAGGAAGGAAGGAAGGAAGGAAGGAAGGTAGGAAGGAAGGAAGGAAGGAAGGAAGGGAAGGTCAAGGAAAGCACTTGATCCCTAGGGCATTCAAGAGGGAGAGGGGAAACAAACAGGCTCTTAGGCTCTTGTGGGGATAAGGACTAGCTAGAGAGGGTTGAGCTAAGGACGGAGAATGAGAATTACTATGATGGAAGTATATTGTCAGCAAGTATGACTGGAACAATGAAACCTGTTGAAATTGTATTAGAAAGTGGAGAAGAAAAAGGAAGCGTGGTGTGTAGGGACATTGAAGAGAATACATTGTATACCTGTGTGGAAGTATCACAATGAAACCCTCTTTGTATAGCTAATATATGTGAAATAAATAATATTTAGTCCCTACAACTGCTGAAAGCTATTTAAAAAAATTTAGTTCCTACAACTGGTAAAAGCCAAACAAATTCTTGTCCTTCTATCTTGATCATATTACATCCTTTTCTCTAGGATTCCGTGAGATACAGCTTATGACTGAATTCATAGGAAATTTTCACATTATCATCCAGTATTTTTTATGTACATTCCTAAGTTGGTGCCTTAATACTATTAAAATTCACACGAAAAATTAGCCCTGCTATTAAGATATTACCCTGATGACTGATAAAATTAGTTTTATATAAAAAGTCTTATCTTTGAATTACAAATACAGATAATTACAACCTTTTAAAACCATTATTCATAGAACCAAATTGCTTTTAAAACTTTTTAATATAAAATTATTATGAGAATGATTTTATTTAATTAAGACTCATAAAAATTCTTCTGACTTTTTATTCTAATGTGTGCAGTATTTCTGAGTACTGTGTGTTTGTAAAGAAATGCTGAAGGAATTTATGTGTGAAAGCAGTATGTTGCATGTATTTAAGATGTCATTTTCTCTACCAATTAACTGCACACATTGTGCTAGTATCCAGACATAAGCATTCATGAGAATGCTTGTGTCTGGGTAATTACAAGTTGAAATAAACACACCTGCCTTTTATTTCAATTGAAAACTATACATTCAAATCCATCTAAGACATTAATTTGAATGTGACCTCCATATATGTGAGAGATTACTGCTTCAGCATTTTATTTATTGTTGTTGTTTTGTTATTACTGATTTACATCTAAATTAGATGCAAACTTATGGGTAATGCTTCTACAGAAAACTTTGCATGCAGAGAAAAGGAAATTCAAAGATAAAGACCTGTGAGAAAAAAAATTGAAGTATTTTGTCTTATTATGCTTTGCCTCATTGTGTACTTTACTTGGATTCTTGTAAAATGTAGTGATGTTTAAAGCCAAAGTAGTAAAATGCATGAACCAGCCTGGAGTTTGGCCTAATTTACTTTAAACAATTGGATTGTTTTTCTTTCCCGGATAAAGTTGTTGGTTTTTCATTTGGAGAATGTGTTTTTCCTAGAGAATGTATTTCCTTGAAAAGCATACAACAATTTGTACTTCAAGGAATCGTGTTTTCTATCAGGCTGAGAGAGTATTTTGAATTGTTATAAGCTTATTGTATAGCACATATTGTATTTTCTTTCACATCCTCTCCAAAATTAAGCCATATTTCTGTATAGCCAGTTTTGACCTGACTATATCATTTAACCAGAAAGCTAAATTAAGATTTATTTAGAAATATTAACTTTGAATTTCCTGCTTTTCATTGCATGTAAATTATCAACCACAAATGGTAGTTTCACTTCAGGTTCTAGCTTCTACTTTGCATGATAAAGCTATAAACAGTCTAGTGATGCTGGAAAGAATATATAGCTATGGTTTCAATATTGCCTAGTTGTTAACATGTTTAAATAAAGGCTGATTTTCTGTTTGTTACTTGTCTTTCGGCGTTAGGGGGTGAACTACTTTATGTCCAAGGGTATCCTCGATGATTCACCAAAGGAAATAGCGAAGTTTATCTTCTGTACAAGAACACTAAATTGGAAAAAACTGAGAATCTATCTTGATGAAAGGTACAAGTAGTTTAAATTTCTCATCAGAAATGAGTTACATAATACCTTTGATTAGTTAAATTTCACTTCAAGAAACTATAGTATCAGGCTTCTAGTTGAAAAATGGAGTGAAGAACCACAACAAAAAAATGTTGCTGTATCTTATTGTGTAATCTTTATATTATTGATAAAGAAGTTGCTGTTATAAAATAAAAATAGCTGGGCATCAGTGGCTCACACGTGTAATCCTATATGCTCTGGAGGCTGATATCTGCAGATCACAATTTGAAGACAGCATGGGCAGAAAACTGGGCAGAAAAATCCATGAAACTCTTATCTCCAATAAACTACTTAGAAAAAGCCAGAAGTGGCACAGTCGCTCAAGTGATAGAGTGCTAGTCTAGGAGGCTCAGGGAGAGCGCCCAGGCCCCATGACTGACAAAACATAAAAAATAAAATCAAACAATGGAGTCAGGCTAGAGGCATGGATTGGTAGCAGAGTACCTCCCTAGTGACCATGAGCCCCTAAGTTCTAACCCCGGTACACCCCCCCACAAAAATAAAAGTGGGTACAGCTCCTTACTGTTCTTTGTTTGGTTATAAACTATTTATAGAATCATTCAAAATGGTTGAACATCACAAATAATCCTATTTAGCCTCTTAAATGTTAAAAATAGTAAATACTTAAGTGGGATTCGCTGAACTAGTTGTCAATAATTATTTTTATGCAAAAATTTGAGGTTTGAACTCATGTCCCGACACTTGTTAGTGAAATGCTGTTATCACTGAGCTGTGCCTACAGCCCTGATTTTTGGTGGTTATTTTTGAGATAGGATCTCATTTGCTGCTCTGACAAAAGTTTGGGTTCTATCTGCCTACGTTCGGTTTCCCGTACAGCTAAAATAAAGGCGCACACCAATTCCCAGCTCTTCGTTGAGAAGCGGGGGGGGGGGGGGGGGGGCTGCGGGGGGGGTCTCATGAGCATTTCTTCAGAGGCTGGCATCAACCTCTGGTTTTCTCTCAGGCTTCCAATAGCTCAGATTGCAAATATGAGTGGCAGGCACTGAGCATTTTTTTTAATGGGAAAAGTTAACTAAAGCTGTCCCTGTTTATTTTTCTATAGGAGAGATGTCTTGGATGACCTTGTAACGTTGCATAATTTTAGAAATCAATTCCTGCCAAATGCACTGAGAGAATTTTTTCGTCATATCCATGCTCCAGAAGAGCGTGGGGAGTATCTTGAAACTCTTATAACAAAGTTCTCACACCGGTTCTGTGCTTGTAATCCTGATTTAATGCGAGAACTTGGCCTTAGTCCTGGTAAGCATATGCCTGTACATATATATATATATATATATATATATATACATACATACATATATATTATATAATATTACTTTCCTCCTCCTTCCCTATGATATCTAGGCAAAATACAATCTTACAAGATACAGAAAACTGCAAAATACTTGCTTGTATCAGTGATAACATCAATTGAAAATATCATTATGTGAACTTAAAGGGATCTTGAGTCATAGCTATTATTTATCTTTAATATATAAGGATACTACTTAATATATACAACAAAGTTATCTGAGCTTCCTAACTTCTTTAAAATTGTTGTTTCAGTATTAGGTATTTTTACTAGTTAATTGAAAATTTGAGACATTTTAAAGCTTTTTAACAATCCACCCATAAGGAACACTTTCTACTAAAATTTGTTTCCAATAACCTCTTCATATATTGTGTTTACCTTATTAATCAGAGGTGAGAAAACATTTACCTGGTATAAAATTTTACCTGACATATTTAGCTCAGTTTTCCTATGTCTACAAGATTCTAAAATATAAATACGATAGTAATAGCAAGTGTCACGACATTTCTTACTGTTGTAATATTAGACATCAAGCAAATGCTCACTGAACTGGTATCAAGCTTGATGATAACTGCCTGAGTTTGCCCAGTGCTGAGGAGTTTCCCAGAACATAGGACTTTCATTGCTAACCTGCGAAGTATCTAGGTAGTCTGGGATGGATTGATCTCCCTATGTTGAGTTATGAGTTAATCTCACCCTCTAAATCATGAACATTTTTGTTTTATACCTTTGAGTGTTTCAAGATAGTAATTTGAAATGTTCTTTTTCCTTCTAGATGCTGTCTATGTACTGTGCTACTCTTTGATTCTACTTTCCATTGACCTCACTAGCCCTCATGTGAAGAATAAAATGTCAAAAAGAGAATTTATTCGAAATACCCGTCGTGCTGCTCAAAACATTAGTGAAGATTTTGTAGGGCATCTTTATGACAACATCTACCTTATTGGCCATGTGGCTGCATAAAAGCACAATTGCTAGGACTTCTAGTTTTTACTTCAGACTAAAGCTACCCAAGGACTTAGTTAGCAAATACGGTGATTACATCAGTGCTGGTCATTCTAGCCCCTGTATACAATCAAGCTAGAGTGTATAGCCTCTTAATTGTTTTACTGTTTCCTTTTCTAATGATTTTCCTTGGGGAACTAAATAATTTTGCAGGATTTCTCTTAATTTTGCTTATCATGTTTTGCACAAAGTAGAGCCATTGGTGGACACAGCTGTTAAAGAATGTTAAACTGGCATTATACTACATGAGATGGCATATTTGTGCATTAGATTTGCCTGAAAAACTTTATTCATCATTCTTTTTTAAATACCATGTAATGTATACATATTTAACTAAAGAGATTTATAATCATAATTATTTTATTGTAAAGATTTTAACTAAAAGTTTTCCTTTTCTCTCAAACCGAGTTCTTATTTTTTTTTATTCTGATCTAAGGCTATTGTTGACTTTGTAAATGTTGGGTCTGATTTCATTCAGAAACCAATTCCAGTTCTTTCTTTCTTTGGACTTTGAACAGAGTATCTATTTGTTATTATATAACTATGCAAACTGACATGTATTTGTATAATATAAATTTATCATTCAGTTCTTTTCAAACTGTCCTTTAAGCAGAATTTAAAAGGTACACTTATAAACAATAGAGGTTATAGAAGGCTGTTCAATTTTGCTTGTTTACGTCTGACTTAGTCCAACTGTTTTCCTAATCTTGATTATCTCTGTTCAGAAGCCATTGAGAAAGGGCTGTTGATGGTAAACACTCATTATTCATTCAGGCAGACAGACAATATTTATCAAGAGTTGTCCATGTGCTGGCACTGTCTTGGGTACTATTACTAGGGAATACTTAGACATGCGTTCTGCCTTCATGGGCATTAGAAGACTGAGTACATGAGGAAAATGCCACTTAATAAAGAACAAATGTATTAAGTATGTTGTGATGAACAATCATGTAAGAATTCAGCTACATCACATTGTATGGGTAGAGAAAGTGTGTTTATGTGGTAAATCAAAATTACTTCTAAGTAAAAAGTAAAAGCACTGGACAAATATAATATGTGATGGCTGTAACTTCTCCCTGAGAGGAAAGATGTTGGAACAGAAAGTCCTTAAAAGTTTGAAGTCCTAGCCATGCTTTTTGTTGTTGTTGTTTGGAGATGGAAGGCTCCAGGGCTTTTCTGCCCAGGACTTTGAATCTTGATCATTCTGATATATATATCCAGTGTAGCTGAAATTAGATAACATGCTTTACCTCACTTGGTTCTTAATATGAGTGTCTTATTATTAAAAGTAGCTTCTCAAAAAAGAAGCAACTGCTAGAATGAGTGGAAGTGATAACAATCCCATACTTTACGTATTTTGTGTGTGTGTGTGTGTGTGTGTGTGTGTGTGTCAATCCTGAGGCTTGAACTCAGGGTCTAAGAACACCCCTGGACACTTTTACTCATGGCTAGTACTCTACTGCTTGAGCCACAGCTTCACTAATAGCATTTTCCCCCCATTTTGGTGATTGATTGGAGATAAGACTGTTCAGGCTGCCTTCAAATCGCAATGCTCAAGATCACAGTCTCCTGAATAGCGAGAATTACAGGTGTGAGCCATTGGCACCTAGCTTCTTTTACATATTTTACAGCTGATATAGAGCTAAAAATTAATGAGAGCAGGATATGTAAGTCAGAGTCATATTAGTATTTAAAGTATATTAAGTGGCCTACAAGCAAAGATAAGTCTAGATAGTTTGGAAAGTAAAAAGTAATTGAGAAACAGTACTGTAAGGTTTAGTCTAGCAAAGGAGGGTTTATAAAAGTTTAATCAAAACTTCAGAACTGGAGATGGCTGGTACTCCAAGAGCTCTGGAAAGAGAATGTCAAGAAGGATGCTGAGGGCTGGGGATGTAGTTTCTTGGTAGAGAACTTGCCGAACATGGGTGCAGTCCTGGGTTGCCTTCTTTACCCCTCCTCCTAAAAAAAGAAAAAGAAGAGAAGAGTGTTGAACTTCATTTACTATAGCCCCCATGAGTCTGTAAGCTGCCAAGTCACAACACTGCTAATTTTTTTTTAATATTCCCTTACCCGATGTGCAAAATGTGAGCGCTGCTGAAACACACAAGAGTGCTGAGGCCTGCCTGCAACCTCCTTCCCCAGTAAGAGCCGGGTTGTTTCAAGCCCAGAATGTACCATGCCTACTAGGTGCTTCTAGTCATGTCTTCCTATACAAACTCACTAGTCAGGTTTTCTAAGATTCAAGTCATAATTTGAAATAGGGAAGGAGAAAGGGGAAGCAGAGGGAAGGGAAGGCAGACTGGAGAGGGAGCAAGGATAAGGAAGAAGAAAAGTGAGAAAGAAAGGAAGGGAAGGAAAGATAAGAAAGAAAAGAGGTGAGGAAAGGGAGGAGAAGAGAGGAAAGAAGATGGCAGGGAGAAGAAAAAGCTTTAACACTTTAGAGCCAGGCTGGGAAGGTGACTCAGTGGTAGAGCGCTTGCCTTGCATGCCTGAGGCCCTGGATTCAATTCCTCACCAAAGTGGCGCTGTAGCTCAAGTGGTAGAGCGCTAGCCTTGAGCTGAAGGGCTGAGGGACAGTGCCCAGGCCCAGAGTTCAGGCTCTACAACTGAGAGAAAAAACAAAAAACAAAAAAAAAAACTTTAGATCCTATTGTCATTTACAGGAGTTATCCTGCGTATGGTCTATTAAAGTTAACTCTGATCTTAATGAGTCCTGTATTTGCCTTATTTTCTAGGAAGCTACTAATTCCTCCCCTGTATTTACCTGTTGAAATGTTACTCAGCCTTCAACATCCTAAGCTAACATTCTGATTTGTAAATTGTCATTTGTAAACTTATTATAATTGTAATTGTAAACCTTTTTCATCCTGGACAAATTTCTCAATACTCAGAGATGGAAATTTAATTATTCATGTTTTCCTCAGTACTGCACAGTAAAGGCATTGCCTCAAGTTTCCAGACAAATTCAGTTATTTTACCTCTGGTTCAGTTTTTATATAGTCTATAAAATGATAGCTTCGCTATTTTTATTTTTACAAGATGTATCCAGATACCACAAGTGTATACAATTTGCAGATCAGAGTTTTTTTTTTAACCATTAAGACATATTCAGCCTATTAACTTAGAAATAGATGCCACCTAAGACCTCTAATTTTAAATATCTAGATGAATCACCGCTATTTTAAGATTGTTTACCAATTTTTTCACCTTTAAGAATTCAAATCATTAATCTTGTTACTTGTAATTTCAATATTTCTTTTATTTTTGCCAATGAGTATGTATATATATACATATATGTGTGTATGTATATACATTACAATTACCATATACAGCAAAGCAAAACCCTATGATTCGAAAAAGAGAGGATAGACTAAAATATACCAAAGTATTATAATGGATGTTTTTAATTTCCTCTTTATTAAGGATAAATTATTTAGGCAAAACAAAATTCATTGAACTATTAAAGTTAAGTGATATTTTTAATTCACCTGGCACATTTTCCCCTCAAACTATTTCCATATATTTTATTCAGAATTTGTTTTATTTTTAAGACACGTGGCTGATCTGCTAAATCATATCTAGACAAATGTTTTGTTTTCAGGCTTCAGAAAGTGAATTGTTGTATTTTTTGTCTAATCGAATTAAAGACCAGCAAGAGAAATTTACCACATCTTTACTGAGGAAATTTTCATTCGTTAAAAAAAAGAAAAAGAAAAAAGAAAATGCTTTCTTCTTGGCATAGCTGGGCAGGAAGGTTGGATTTAATTTAAAATGATGAATGAGATCGTGTCAGGTCCCTGACTTTACCACCACTGCAGTTTGTCAGTGGAACAACTGGGAAACCTGGACGCCACTCTGTCGCCCTAAAACCGCTCTCCAGGGAAGAAATTAACTGGAAGAACTAGCGCCATGTACACGTCAATGGCATTGTCTCTCTGGGATTGACAGTTTAAAAGTCTGAATCAGAAATATGCTTGCTTGGGGATGTGTATCTAAGATATTGTTTCTAATCTCTTTGCAACTAGTTAATCATTTTTAAAATATCTGAGTTGTTGACATTTTCCAAAGGAAACTATTTGAAGACAAAATCTGTACTAAGGCCCCCTATCCTTAATTTGTTTTAAAAATTAAAATAAACAAGGAACTTGAGGATCTCAGGTTACTTTCTGTATTTCTTGAAGCACTTGAAAAGTTAAAAAAAAATACCTTTCCAAAGAATGCTTCTTTTAAACATAAACATGACCTAATTTTATAGTCAACTTTTAAAATTATTAGACTACAATTTGACTTAATATTCCTTTTTCTTTCATATCATATTTACATTTAAAATGACAGGATTAGCTAAAACTAAATTGCTGTATATGGCTTGTTATTGGGTAGTAAATATTTGCTCTGATGTGGATTATAAAACTAGAATTGCAAAATTATTATATTTGGTATTTGTGTTTAATCCAAATTTAAACAACTGTGTGCATAAGAACACCAGATACCATTCTTAATACCAACTACAAGATCAATACTAAATTGCAACAATATTATATACAAAGTGTGATTTTTACCACTTCTTAATAGTAGTGTAATGTCAATTGTACTATTTTCCAGAATGCCCATCCAAAAATGTTAGGGAAAGGAGGGGGAAAATGGTTCTTGAAAAGGATCTAGGCCCACACTAGTATCTTATCAGCTATCCCTGGAACATATATTATCATAGTGGATTTGCGCTCATTCTGTGTCTGGTTCTCTATCCTAGAAATCTTCTTTGTCAACACATCTCAAGCTAATGTATTTTTCATGACACTGATTTTTCATGATAATGGTCCAGCACAAAGGAAGGGAAAATGTTAAAGTGTTAGCCCATTGATCAGAACCTTCTCTCTCTTTACTGACCTACCTAAAGCATGTTGTTGTGGAATCCGGGTGAGAATTACCTAAGTCATTTGTGGTATATCTTGTGTCAGATGCAATAGCTGAATGTATATTGCAATAGAGATGATATTACCTATTTAAAACTTCATAAAGTCACCTCCTAGGCAATACTAATATTTGCTTCTGTATTTATTTTACACTGTTCAGTGAAAATTGAGTATCCCTTTCCATTGACTCAGAACATTTCTATTGCTTGTACTTGTTACAAAAATTTTCTTCAGCCTTAATATAGCCATTAGATCATATGTGAGGTTTAAAGTCATCCTGATACATTTTGTGCTTTTCTTGCTGTTTAAGGGGAGCCAGTGGTTCATGCCTGTAATTCTAGCTACTCAGACTGAGATCTGAGGATCATGGTTCAAAGCCAGCAAAAAAATTCCCCTAAAGACTTTTTTTTTTTTTTTTGGTTGTGGTGGGGACTGAACTCTGGGCCTGGTGCTGTCCCTGAGCTCTTCAGCTCAAGGCTAGCGCTGTACC